CTTTTAACCTACTTATTATATATTGATGCCAGATTAATTACTAATTTGAATGGATGTTTTCAAAACTTAATAAAATACAAAATACAGTTAGCCCTTTGTATCTGTGGCTTCTGCATGTGGGGATTCAACCAACCACAGATCGAAAATATTGAGGGGGAATGGTTATGTCTGTACTGAACATGTACAGACTTTTCAGAACATGTACAGACTTTTTTGTCTTGTCATTATTTCTTAATAAAGTATAACAGCTATTTACATAGCATTTACATTGTATTAGGTATTACAAGTGATCTAGAGATAGTTGTGGATAGGTTATATGCAAATGTAGGCATACCTTGGAGGTATTTTGAATTTTGGTTCCAGACCACCACAGTAAAGCGAATTACGTGGATTATTTTTTGATTTCACGTTGCTTATGAAAGTTTTGTTTATACTGTAGTCTGTTGATTGTGCAATAGAATTATGTCTAAATAAACAATCTGCATATCTTAAAAAATACTTTATTGCTAAAACAATGCTGACACAGATACAAAGTGAGCACAGGCAAGATTGCTGGAAATCTTCAGTTTGTAAAAAAAGAAAATGCAGTATCTGCGAGGTGCGACAAAGTGAAGCACAATAAAATGAATCAGATATGCCTGTATTACACCATTTTATATAAGGGACTGGAGCATCCATGGATTTTGGTATATGAGGGGGGTCTCGGAACCATTCCCCTGTGGATATTGAGGAGCAACTGTAAATATCATGTACTTAACATTTGTGTCCTGAATCTGTGAAGTTATAATTTATGTCTCATACCTAGGTATAAAGCATAGTTCCACAGTTAAAAGAGAAATAAGGAACCTAAAAGTTAGGATAATGGCTTAGTGGCAGTTGGGCCAGAGGGAAAATTAATCCAACTATGACTATAGCAAAGGATAGCCAGTATTCATCTGACTTAAGTTTTAATACTTAGCAGAACGTGGCATTAAAAAGTAACAACCTTTTTTCATTTCCTTGATATAATTAATGAGATAGGGTCTTGCTTTATCACCCAGGCTGGAATACAGTGGCACTATCGTAGTTCACTCTAACCTCCAACTCCTGGGCTCAAGTGATCCTCCCACCTCAGCCTCCCAAAGTGCTGAGATTACAGGTGTGAGCCAACACACCTGGCCTCACAATGAAAAGTTTTTACATCATAGTAACATGTTCTCTTTACCATCACTTACTATCTTTATGTTTTCAGTTCAGAGAAGCCCAACTGGGATTACCATGCTGAAATACAGGCCTTTGGACCTCGGTTACAGGAAACCTTTTCCTTAGATCTTCTTAAAACTGCATTTGTTAATAGCTGCTATATTAAAAGCGAGGAAGCCAAACGCCAAAAACTTGGGATAGAGAAAGAAGCTGTTCTTCTGAATCTTAAATGTAATCAAGAACTAGCTGAACAAGGGAAATCTTTTTCACAAACTTGCCTCACGAAATTTCTTGAAGACGAGTACCCCAACTTGCCCACTGAAGGCATCAAAGGTCTTGTTGACTTTCTCACTGGTGAGGAAGTTATTTGTCATGTTGCTAGAAACTTGGCTGTGGAGCAGTTAACGTTGAGTGCCGAATTCCCAGTTCCCTTGCCCGTGTTACAGCGTACTTTCTTTGCGGTAATTGGAGCCCTCCTACAGAGCAGTGGACCTGAGAGGACTGCACTTTTCGTCAGGGTAGGTAATTATTAATTGCACGT